CGCTGCGGCTTCCTGCAGCTCCGCGGCGGGCAGCGCTGCGGCCTCCTCTGCCTCCTCGGCGTCGGGCAGCGCCGCGTCGGCGGCGGGCAGCGCGGCGTCGGCCGCCGGCAGCGCCGCGGCTTCCTGCAGCTCCGCGGCGGGCAGCGCTGCGGGCAGCGCCGCGGCCTCGGCGGCGGGCAGCGCCGCGGCAGCCTCTACCTCGTCGTCAGGGGCGGCGACAGGGGGGGACTGGCTCAGGGGGGGCTGCATCGACCCTGCATCGCCGATGGGGGCCTGGGTACCCCACCCCGCCCAGTAACATGCGGTTTCGCCATCGGAGGCCTATCGTCGATCTATTCTATGGCCGATTCGAGGTCATTGCCCCCCCCCCCTCACGCCGCCCCTCAGGTCGGCGGCGGGCAGCGCCGCGGCTTCCAGTGCCTGTTCGGCGGCGGGCAGCGCCGCGGCTCACAGTTCCGGGTCGGCGGCGGGCAGCGCCGAGGCATCCTCCACCTCGTCGTCAGGGGCGGCGACAGGGGGGGACTGGCTCAGGGGGGGCTGCATCGACCCTGCATCGCTCGATGCATCGCCGATGGGGGCCTGGGTACCCCACCCCGCCCAGGAACATGCGGTTTCGCCGTCGGAGGCCTATCGTCGATCTATTCTATGGCCGATTCGAGGTCATTGTCCCCCCCCCCCCTGGGATGCACCCCTCGCGCCGCCCCTCAGGTCGGCGGCGGGCAGCGCCGCGGCTTCCAGTGCCTGTTCGGCGGCGGGCAGCGCCGCGGCTCACAGTTCCGGGTCGGCGGCGGGCAGCGCCGAGGCATCTTCCACCTCGTCGTCAGGGGCGGCGACAGGGGGGGGCTGGCTCAGGGGGGGCTGCATCGACCCTGCATCGCTCGATGCATCGCCGATGGGGGCCTGGGTACCCCACCCCGCCCAGGAACATGCGGTTTCGCCATCGGAGGCCTATCGTCGATCTATTCTATGGCCGATTCGAGGTCATTGCCCCCCCCCCTGGGATGCACCCCTCGCGCCGCCCCTCAGGTCGGCGGCGGGCAGCGCCGCGGCTTCCAGTGCCTGTTCGGCGGCGGGCAGCGCCGCGGCTGACAGTTCCGGGTCGGCGGCGGGCAGCGCCGAGGCATCCTCTACCTCGTCGTTAGGGGCGGCGACAGGGGGGGGCTGGCTCAGGGGGGGCTGCATCGACCCTGCATCGCTTGATGCGTCGCCGATGGGGGCCTGGGTGCCCCACCCCGCCCAGGAACATGCGGTTTCGCCATCGGAGGCCTATCGCCGATCTATGGCCGATTCGAGGTCATTGCTTCCCCCCCTGGGATGGTTCCCCCCTCACGCCGCCCCTCAGGTCGGCGGCGGGCAGCGCCGCGGCTTCCTGTGCCTGCGTGCCTATACGTGGTCGGAAGCGGGTTTCCTGCGCCTGCTCGGTGGCTGGCAGCGCCGCGGCTTCCTCGGCGTCGTCGGCCGCGGGCGCTGCAGACACCCCCGTGAAGAAGCGGCGGATCAGCTGGATTGATGAGCCATGGGGCCCAGGTGTTGAACTCCCGTTCCCCCCGCCGCTGGAGAAGCAGCGGCTCGTGGTGCGCTTCACGCTGGAGACGCAGGCAGAGTTGTGGGACCTGAGCCGCGGGAGGGACTTTGCCTTTTGCGACCGTTGCTTGGAGGACCGCCCTTTCGTTGGCGGCGCCTTCGTCGATGAAGAGGCAACATGCCGCTTCGCCCGCTGCACGTGGCACTGTCGGCGCTGCTTAGGGGGCGCGGCCTAAATAGGATTCCTCTCTCCTCATTCTCCACCTCCACCTTTTACTCATCCTTGTCCTCGCTCCTCCACCTGCTTCACCTTTCCTCAACTTGTTTCTGAAATCCCTTGGGGTTGACTAAGCCCAGGGCACAATCGGCAATCAAGCTTGATGAGGGGGGGGTCACGAGCAAGGGAGGGGAAGACTGAGGAGAAGGGTGAGGAGGACGAGGATGAGACACGATGCCACGATGCCCCCTGACACAACGTCGGCGGGCAAGCGCAATGCCATGCCAGTGAGCACTGAGCATCGCCGTCGCCATCGCGTTGCGCCCGACCGCGCAACAAGTGCCTGGGCGTCAGCGGCCCCGAATCCTCGAGCGTCTCCGCCTGCTCGACTTTGGAATCTGGATTTAATTCACAAAATTCAGTTTTTGTTTCTCGGATATGTATATTCGGCGGGACGATACCATTTGGAAGGTGGCGCGGGTTGGCCGTCACTTCAGTGACTTGCGTAGCATTCCGACGTGACCCGCCCAGTCGCCTAGTCGCACCCCCTTCCATCCAATGGTCTCTCCCGCCGACTGTTCGGCCCGACGGCATGTATCGCACAACATTTTTGGGCGTACTAATACTATGTATGCGAGATACAAGTTCTCCAGTAGGTCAGTAGGTTCGCCACGTCGTTAGGGGTCGATTGCGGATTGCATCAAACATCACAAAGAGTTCGCTATCATCACTTATCCATCGGCATCGTCGTCGCATCGCCGTTATCACCGCATCGCCGTCATTGAGTCCTTGATATCGCCGCAGATCCGTCGCCGCTTCGCCGTCGTCATCACCGCATCGTCGCATCGACGCTCGGTTGGGCCGTGCCCCAGATTCGCCCCCCCCCCCCCCCCCTCCGCCCCCTCGTCCTCCTCCTCGTTCACCTCCGTCTCGCCCCGCCCTCGCCTTCCCCGCCCGGCTCCCTTCCTAGCACACCCCCCCTCTGTTCTGGGGGCCTCCAGGGCTTCCTCTGCGATGGCCCTGGCGCGGCCAGGGCGATGAGAGGCTTCGAGAGTTGGTGAACCCGATTGGCCCCCTCCTGCCACGGACGAGCACTGCAGTGATCACATGGCGTCGACCATCTGCCCCCCCCATCCCCCCTCATGCACCGCCTGCAGCCGCTGTCGAGGGACCCAGCCCGCCCGCCGCCCTTCCCCCGCGGGCACTATCATGGAACTCGATGGTCTCGATGAGATCGGCGCAGCCATCTCGGAGGGGCTTCGCAGCATAGGCGCGCCCTCTGGACTCGAGGCCTCAGAGGCCGCCGCAGCCGACGGAGCACTTGGCGAACTCGCTGACGCAGGCGATGCCATTGCCGCCGGGCTTCGTGGCATAGGGCCCGAGATGGCAGAGCTGCTAGAGGCGGATGCCCCCGTGGACGTCCGCCAGCTGGTCAGTCGCCGCAGGCCGCACAGGTTCACTGGCCGCCAGCGAGGACACAACTTGGAGGCCGCTCGTCGAATCGCGAAGGTCCAGTTCCAGAATAGATGCCTGGAAGGCCAGTGCGATCGCTTGGAGGCCTTGCGGACTACGTGGAATGCTATGAGATTGCGGCGCGGCGATTTCGTCAGTCGGATGATCAACGAGGGTTGTTCCAGACGGGTCGTCAAGGATGGACTGAAGCGACTTCATAGGAGTGCGTATCATGCCAACCATTGGACAGTAACTGGCCTGCTTCGGTATTCGTTCCGGTGCGTCGGTCACACCCATCAAGAGAAATGTGGTTTGGATGGTGCTACGGGGCTGCTGTACCCTGCTGGCGTGGCTGGCGCCATGCTGCACATGCAGCGTGAGAGGACCGTCCACCGTCGTTGTCGTCTCCGTCTTGCTCACCCATCGCAATTTCCATATCCTCGCCTCCCCCTCGCTCCTCCCCCATCGCCACCGTTGCCCACCTGCCTTCTCCTCCCTCATTCCTTTTCGCCCCATCCTTCTCCTGGTCCCCCCCTCACCATCCCGACTTTCTCTGCCTCCTCCCCCCCCCCCTCCCCCCTCGCCCCGTCCGCCTCTGCTCGGTCGTTTGTCCAGCCCAGGATTAGAAGTTACATGCAGGTATTCGGCAAACACCACAGCGTGGTAATATGTAAACACTACGACGCCACTCCACTGAGACTTCGGTTTGCGCATCCCAAGCTTCGAGAGCAGTTGATGCCTCTGGCTAGGTACGCCGTGCAGAACCCAGATACCAAGAAATGGGATTTGGTCGGTTACGACACGTTCAAAAAAATTGTGCCGAGTCACAAAGTAAAGTGGCATATTGGAGGCGTTTGCACAGTCAGTGGATATTTTCTCTGTCGATGGCGACGGATTCGTTGGAAGTAAGCACATTTTTGTTCCACCTAGCGTCTTGGGCCGGGCAGACGCATCGTGTATACATGAGGCCACAGAGCGCGTCCCTTCTATGAATGCGGCTGCTTTGACGGAGTTGGCGTCGCGCTCGGCTTATGTATTTGTGAATGACAACCCAGACAACGCGAAGTCCAATTTCAGGAAGAAGCGCTTCGCTTGTCGCGAGTTGGCATCGTCGCCCAACATCCTCATTAACACCACAGGCTGGCCTGCTTGTTCTGTGTTGGGGATGATGGGGATGTCCTAGCGTTCCTGTAACCCTCTCCTGTCTGGCCCCCCTCCCCCCGCCCTGGCCCCCCCTCCTTCGCGAGGCTGCATGGCGCATTCGTTGCACAGGGTCATCACCACCTGCGTCCCCGAGTCTGACATCGTTGGAGATCTCCACGCGATCGTCGTCACCCTCTCGCATGTGTCGCGACAGGCGGCCTTCCAGGATGCGCTGCAGCAGGTCGTCGCGAAGGCAGTCATCAGTCCGCTTCCGCCCCCAGCAGAGGCGTGCAGGAGGAACCGCGCCCTAGCCGAGCGTGCGATGTTCCGCACGGTTGCCTTCAAAGAGGTCAGACGGGGGGCCGCAGAGCAGGGGAACGGAGCACGAGGAATCAGAAGACGAACTGGGGGAGGAGCATCCGCCCCATCCCTCTTCCTCGCCCTCCTTCTCCTTCTCCTCCTCCTCCTCCTCCTCCTGCTCCTCCTCCTCCTCCCCTCCTCCTCCACTTCTTTTTCCCACCCTTCCTCATTCCCACTTCCTCCTCCCTCTCCTCCCGCTCCTCCTCCTTCTCCTCTGCCTCTTCCTCCTCCTCCTCCCGCGCCCCCCCCCATCCCTCCCCCTTGCTCCGAGGTGAGTGACAGTCGACGCAGTGCTGTTGACAAGTTGCTGCTCTTCCTCAACGGCGATTGGCGCCTGGACACGATCATGCACCACTGTGACGCTACCAGGTGCAGCTGCAGCTCTGAGGATGACGCTCGCGCCAAGATCTTCGGCGCGTTGCTTGAGGCTGGGGCAGTGCTCGGGAGCGACGTCGGCCCGCCCTCGGTAAACCGCTGGGGAACTGCAACGACCGCGGCTGGGCAGATCGCCCTGTTCATCATGTGCCACAGGGTGCTTCCGCAGTGCGCAGAGATCGCGCTGAGAGACCTCTCGAGAGAGTGGGCTGCTGCCAACGACGACAACCAGGAACGATTGGCCTGCTTCACATTACCCCATCGAGGGGGGAGGGGGGGATGATGGGGAGGCCGATCACGAGGAGGAGTGAGGATAATGAGGAGGATAATGAGGAGGATAAAGAGGAGGAGGATAATGAGGAGAAGGGGCAAGATGAGGATGATAATGAGGAGGGGGACGATCACGAGGAGGAAGAAGACGAGGCGGAGGACGTGGCGGCGGAGAGAGCCCCCCCTTAACCCCTTCCCCATCCGAAGCGTGGCTTGCGATCGAGATAATGTGAGCAGACCAACCAAGGAACGTGCAATCTCTCGGTCCAAAGCTTGGAGGACCAAGAAAATATGCATGAACCCAGATCGTCTGCGGTTCTTGTCGGTCGCCGCCTACGTGTCGATTCCGATCGACACATTGTTATCGGCGCTTCAGCACCTCGACCACGAGGGCAATTGCCTCATGGACTGTGTCACAGTCGTTGGGAGCCCTGTGTATTTGTGCCAGCGGCGACTGGGCGACATGGCGTGCAACCCCTTCGGCGCAGAGTCCGATGTCGCGGCGCTCTTGACGCATTTCGCTTCCGACCAGCTGACGCAGCGCCGCGTGTTCAGCATGGCGCTTTGCGCTGGGGGTCAGGCGTGGTGGCGCTTGTATTGCATCGAGCAGTTCCCGCTGGCGCTGGCCGCGTTTGGCCATCCCGCGGCAACCAGAGAACAGCGTCGCAGTGTGTGCTCTGCACTTTTCTCATGCTCGCCGTGCTGCCTGGACGCGGACTTCTCGATGAAGTTGCGCGCGCTCTTCGACGATTCCAACGTCATGGCCGACGACGTCGAGTTTAGGCGCGCAGTGAGATTGTGGGGGGCGAGTGCCAGACTGACGAACATGCACCTGGAGCGGGACCTCGCTGCCGACAAGCTCCGCGTCGGCATGCGCGGCAAGACTGGCGCAGGCTGCCCCGCCGTCGAGCGGTTCATATCTGTGAGTTTCTTGGGAGAGGTGCTTGATGCGCATCGTCGTGCAGGTGGGCTTGACCCGCGATACATGACTCGGGAACAGATCGTGACAGGCGGGCTACGACTTGATGCTGTTCCAACCCGTGGCGAGTCCAGACCCCCAGGGGGCTTCACTCGGCATTTGTCGGCGACCCGGGCGGCATGGAAGGCCAGGCTTGGCGTCGAGAGTTTGACGAAGGAGCAAACCAATTCGATGATGTTGGAAGCCCGCATGACATGGTTTGATTTTGATGCCGAAACACGAGAAGAGATGGGTCAAGATGCCCGTGTCGCGTGGGAACGGAAGCAAGCTGACCGTGCCGCATTGTCTGAGACCCAACGCGTTCACCATGATCACATGGCGCGCCAGATTAGCGAGGTATTTGGGGGTCTCAGCTCCAAGACGAGCCCTGTGTCGCACGAGGAGTTCGAGCGGTTCATGAGAGCCGAGTGTGACCCTGACGAGAAGACGCCAGGGGCGGTTTCATTTTGTTCGCCTTGGCGAGATGACGTGATCAAGAATGCTATCGTCAGTTCAGACTGCATCCGCCCATCGCTGAAACTTCCCGTCTACACGCCGTGCTGGAGAGTTCACCCTGGAGTTTGCAGGAGCAGAGAGAACTGGTGTTGGGAGGAGCTTGCCGACTTAACCCGTCGTCTACACAAACAATGGCCGCACGGCAGCCAAGGTACATTCCACACGATACGATGTGCGCGGCAAGTCGGACCACCTCGTCACATTTCGGTTGCTGTTGCTCACGTTCGGCTAGCGGATCCACATCTTGTCATTCTTGTTAAGTGTAAGTTTCGACCTGGCGATAAGCAGTTCATCGACATCGTGCGCAGGGACGACGGGAGGTTGTGGTGCTTGTCGGCTGGCATGGTTGTTAGGGGCTTCCTGCAGGGTTGCCAAGATGTTCAGGATGGTCGTAGAGTAACTAGTCTCACTATAGAGAACTTTGAGGTCGATTTCGAGAACGGTCGGCCATATCTCTCTGCGCGGGGAAAGGAGAAGGACCTTCTTCTTGACCATGCCGACGCTGCTGGCTCACATGATCACCTCACGCCGGGTATGCGCGCATGGAAGGCCATCATGGACGAGGGGTTGCTGTCTTTGAAGTCCAGCCGGGCCAGCTTGCCCAAGGCGACTTTCCCTGCAGACGGTTATTGTTCGGGGAGCGGGAGCGACAGTTCGAACCCCGATAGCAGCGCCAAGTACTTCTGGACGTGCGCATCTGCTCTGCCCAGCAAGGTCCCGCAGTCAGCCAAACCCTCCAACATCCTACGGACCAGCCCCCTCAAGTCCTTCATTCCTGCCCACTCTGCTCCTTGCGTGCTACATGTATGTGGTATTTGGTATTTGTGTATTTGTGTAGTTGCTATCTGCGATTTATCCCTCCGTGTTTCTGATGCGCCTCCCCCGTTTGCCGTCGGGGCTCGACAGAAGCCTTGTTGTGATTCTCAGTTGGCTGAGGCACCCCCTCTGCCCCCCCTGTGGGGCCCCCGTGGCGCCCACGCCCATCCTTCCACCTTTGCAGTTGCTTCTGCTAGCGCCGCGAGGTCGACAGCAGCTCCGCTGCAGCCTTGGACATCGGGCTGGCGGACGCGCCCGAGCCGCAGCCGCCCCCTGCTGCCGCCCCCAAGCCACCAAGAGAGAAGGTCGGAGCCTCTTGGGGTCCGTTTTGGATTGCTCCAATCACAGATAAGAAGACAGGCCGAGGCATCGTCGGTTGGGGGGGGACTTGCTGGTGTCACAAGAACCCCGATGACCCACGACAACAACCGTGCCAAAAGCAGATTCACATGGGCGTGACCAAGAACGCGATCTCCGAGGCCGAGACCCGCAGGCTCATATCGGCGGTTCAACGATGGGGCCGATGTTCGAAGTCGAGGGTGGAGGGGGCATCGGGGGGGGGATAAGTATACATGCCCGCTGCCAAAGCGGGCCCAATGCCCCAATGCCCAATTCCCAATTCCCACGTGCCTGCCCCCCCCTCGACCTTCCTTCAGACCCCTTTCTTGGATCGCCGCTCTTCAAATGCTGGCTCATTCTTGGCTTGGACATACCCAAAGACGATCCTAATGCTCGCCACACCCGCGTTCACGAGATCGGTCGCGCTGTTCGCCAGCGTGCCCCTGTGGAGTGGACAGAGGCGGTCCTCGAGGACATGTTGCCGAAGTGAGGCATGCGGTCGGCATGGTTGCCACAGGTTGTTGATGCCGATGTACCCTGGACGCGTCAGGTCAGGACTGGACTGGCGAAAGGGTATCCAATCATCTTTTGTCTAGTCGTCTATTTGCCTATTTGAAACATGCTTAAGCACTGCATCCAATCAGCTATTTGGTGCCCCAGACGGGGCGCACTTATCTGTTTGATGTTCCAAGCGGGACGCAGTCTTTTATTTGGCGTTCCAAACGGGACGCTCGTTTTTTACTGTGAGAATTGGAAGCGCCAGTCCCCAATCGCGACTCAGAGATTCAGGGCGACGGGGCGTCAGGGATCCAAGCCCCCCCCCCCCCAGGGATTCAATGGGCCCGAAGGGCCTCTCTGGACAGGGGCGCAGCACGCGCCTCCTTGGCCCTGGAACGCTAGGCGGGGGGATCCTTGGATCTGCGTTTCGGCGTTGACTCTAGGGCACACCCCCTGTCTCAACCATCGGCCCATATCCACGCCGCAAGTGCTCGCTCGAGGTGAGGTGACATCCGAACCCACGCCGTGTCAGAAACATATTGGATGCGTTGCTGCCAGCGCCTCTGACCCTGAAGGATTGTGCCCTTGCGTTTGGCAGGCTGGGCGATGCGAAGCTGGGGTGCCGTCGCGAACGACGCCGTGTCGGAGGGGGGGGGGGTAGGAGGAGGAGGGGGAGGAGGAGGAGGAGGAGGAGGAGGAGGAGGAGGAGGAGGATGTCAAAGCATGTTATGCTTCAAGGGTCTGGTTCGCCAAGTTTGGCGATCTCGCGGGCCCCCCCTGACCCCCCAGACAACCCGGATAATTACATGTGATTCTCGGTCCAAGACTGTTGGCCCCAGTCCTTTTTTTGCCGCGGGCTTCCGTCACCAGTCTCGCGCCCATCGCCGATGGGGAAGCGAGCCGCCGCGGACGGGGCAGAGTCGGCACCTCCTGGTCGCGGTCGCGGCCGCGGTGGACGACGCCGAGAGCATGTCGCCGCCGAGGGGGCTTCGTTACCTCCGCCAAAGGCAGCCCGAGGGCGCGGCGCCCGGCCGCCGGCAGCGCCCCCCGCCCCCACGGCAACGCCAGGCCAGACGCAGTTGAGGTTTTCGCAGCTTGCAGAGCCTCACTCGCCCGTTGCCCTGGGGGGCCTGGAGTCCAACGCCTTGGACGCCGGCGTGTCTGACGACGATGCAGCCGCGGCCTCGGCAGGTGTTGCTGAACCTCAGGGCGCAGACCAGGGAGGCGACGCTGCCAGCGAGACCGCCACGATCCCGGCGTCGCCCCAGGCCCTCGCGGCATCCTGTGACCATCCAACCGCAGCAACGATGTCTGGACCGATTGCAGAGTCCTTGCTGCCAGACGGTGGCTCAGGCACTGACGCCCAGTGTGCAGCTGCACCAGAGCGATCGCCCGGATCGCCTGTGCGGTAGCCAGGGCACAGCCCATCGGGACGCGAGCCGCCTGCCAACGCGCCCGTAGACGCTGGCTCAGCAGCCGACGCCCAGTCCGCCACAGCGCCCCAGTCTCCCTGCAGAATGAGCACGCCTGATCGCCAAGTGGAGCACATACTTGTAGACGGTCTTCCTTCGGCGGCGCCTCACCCGCCCGAGCAGACCCAGCACGAGTGTGATGATGCGTGGGTTGAAGACAGCCTTGGGAAGTTACTCGACGCAGATCTGAACGCTCGGGGTGGCGCTGCGCCTGGCGACCCTGCCACTACCGATGCCAGCGGCACTGCTGCGTGCGACGCGGGCGCGGGCACGTCGTCTGAGGCAGCCCACCCACTGCCAGCGGCTGGGGGCAGCCTTGTGGATGCAGGTGCGTGTCCGAGTTTGGCGGGAGGGGCGCCTCTGGCCGAGGCGCAGTCGGACCCCCCGACAGTTGCACCGCTGGCGCCTCCAGTAGAACAGCCTGGCGCTGGAGGCGAAGCCAGTCTGCAGACGCAGTCGCTAGACTATCTTGGTGCTCGAGGCGAAGTTGCGCCGCTGACGCCGCCAGTAGCAGTGCAGCAGCTTGGTGCACTCGATCAGACCGCGCCTGCGGCTGGTAGCCCTCCCCCTGCAGAGGCTGCGGCGCCAGCGGCGCCCCCAGCAGGCGAGGTTCCCGCTTCGCCGCTAGTGGATGGCCAAGCTGCAGCTGGCGGCGCGGCGCCCCCAGCAGGCGAGGTTCCAGCCCCCGCCGACGGCCAAGCTGCAGCCGCGCTTGAAGCCGATCGGACTCTGCCAGACCAGCCGGCGCCCGCTTCACCGCTAGTGGATGGCGACGCTGAGTTGGACTGCTTGATCGCCCTTGACCTGCCATCGCTGAGCGCGCAGCTGACAGGGTGCGATGAGCTCCAATCCGACGTGGATGGGGACCTCATGGAGCTTGAGGGCATCGACGCGGAGCAGTTCAGGGACGTGTACGCGCTGGCCAGCTCGATCCAGGCCTCCCTTCCCGCCTGCTCCTCCGCCCAGTCCTCCACCCCTTGCCGTCCCCGCCCGCCTCCACCTCCGCCGAGTCCTCCACCCCTCCCCCCTCTCCGAGCACCCCGCCCCCGCCCCCTTCTCTCAGCGGGCGGCCAGCCCAGCGGGCGTTTCTCCCAGCGCGCGCGCGCCCTACCCAGTGGGCGGCCCCCCCGGGGGGCGGACAACCGCCCGCTGACCCCCTGCCCCCCCCCAGCGCGCGGAGAACCGCCCGCTGCCCCCCCCCCCTGCGGGCGGAGAACCGCTCGCTGGCCTCCCAGGGGGCAGATGACCGCCCGCTGACACCCCAGCGGGCGGAGACCCGCCCGCTGGCCCCCAGCGGGCGGAGAACCGCCCGCTAATTGTTGTAGGGGGTGGGGGCCAATC